CGTATATCAGACCAATTAGGCTAGTGTTCGTGTTTGACTAGGCTAGTATACGATTGAAGCGACTAGAGGTGGATAGACAGATCAGCTGAGAGATAAATCCTGCCAATGGTTGCAGTAGTTAATGGTTGCAGTAGTTGAGTCATCGTGGCGGTGGTGATTAGAGTGAAGCCACCACCGAATATATCTAAAATATCAATATCAAAAATATATAATACATTAAATCAGCGACGAAGTATTCGTCCTTAGACATTTATTGCAAGAAATGAAATATTCATTTAGCGTTGCATAAAAATGAATTCACGGAGCCTATTTTCTTATTCACAATTAAATGATTTTCTTATTTTTGCTATTGCTTACATTTTGTATAAACACTTTACCCAATTTATTCTGGATCACAAAGAAAAAATTACCTTAACAATAACAGGCATAGAATTGTCCCTAAAAATATGGCCTAAATATGGCCCTAAATATAACAGCCTAGATTTGGACCCTAAAATCAACACGCTTATATATATATATATATATATATATATATATATATATATATATATATATATATATATATAAAATATATAAAATGTGTGATTTTCTTTATTTTCAATAACTTGTTTCCAATTAGTTTATTTGAATTATTATTATATTATATTAAGACCATAATTTATTGACTTTTGTTAGTTTAGGTTAGGTTAGGTTAGGGTTGGTTAGGTTAAGATAGGTTAGGTTAGGGTTGGTTAGGTTCGGTCATATATCTCCATTAGTTTTAACTCAAATTTAAACAAATTAACTTGTACATAATGAAATGGACAGATTTATCATTTCATAAGAAAAAATTAGAAAAATATATAAATTCAGGAAAACTTGGCTTAATAGGCAAATTGGGCCTTGCATAGTAGGCCAAGTACGACGTTCTGGCTACTAGGGTGTGTATATATATATATATATATATATATATATATATATATATATATATATATATATATATATATGTCGTACCTAATAGCCAGAACGCACTTGTCAGCCTACTATGCAAGGCCCGATTTGCCTAATAAGCCAAGTTTTCCTGAATTAATATATTTTCTCAAATTTTTTTCTTATGAAATGATAAAGCTACCCATTTTATTATGTATGAGGTCAATTTTTTTTATTTGAGTTAAAATTAACGTAGATATATGACCAAACCTAACCAACCCTACCTAACCTAACCTAACCTATCTTTATAGGTTAGGTTAGGTTAGGTAGCAGAAAAAGTTAGGTTAGGTTAGGTTAGGTAGGTTAGGTAGTCGAAAAACAATTAATTCATGAAAACTTGGCTTATTAGGCAAATCGGGCCTTGCATAGTAGGCTGACAAGTGCGTTCTGGCTATTAGGTACGACATATATATATATATATATATATATATATATATATACATATATACACACAACCTAGTAGCCAGAACGTCGTACTTGGCCTACTATGCAAGGCCCGATTTGCCTAATAAGCCAAGTTTTCCTGAATTAATATATTTTCTATAGTTTTTTTCTTATGAAATAATAAAGCTACCCATTTCATTATGTATGAGGTCAATTTGTATTTATTGGAGTTAAAATTAACATAGATATATGACTGAACCTAACCTAACCTAACCTATCTTATAGGTTAGGTTAGGTTAGGTAGCCGAAAAAGTTAGGTTAGGTTAGGTTAGGTAGGTTAGGTAGCCGAAAACCAATTAATTCATGAAAACTTGGGTTATTAGGCAAATCGGGCCTTGCATAGTAGGCTCAGAAGTGCGTTCTGGCTACTAGGTACGATATATATATATATATATATATATATATATATATATATATATATATATATATATATATATATATATATATATATATATATATATATATATATGGTGCAATTATAGGGACCCACAGCCTCAGAGAAGGGAACACAGAGCATTCAGGGAAAAACTTGCCATTTAACTCGGAATACGAAAGAGTGTTCGCCTCTCCTACCACCCCCCTATATATGTATATATATATATATATATATATATATATATATATATATATATATATGTCGTACCTAGTAGCCAGAACGCACTTCTCAGCCTACTATGCAAGGCCCGATTTGACTAATAAGCCAAGTTTTCCTGAATTAATATATTTTCTCTAATTTTTTTCTTATGAAATGGTAAAGCTACCCATTTCATTATGTATGAGGTCAATTTTATTTTATTGGAGTTAAAATTAATGTAGATATATGACCGAACCTAACCAACCCTACCTAACCTAACCTAACCGATCTCTATAGGTTAGGTTGGGTTAGGTAGCCGAAAAAGTTAGGTTAGGTTAGGTTAGGTAGGTTAGGTAGTCGAAAAACAATTATTTCATGAAAACTTGGCTTATTAGGCAAATCGGGCCTTGCATAGTAGGCTGAGAAGTGAGTTCTGGCTACTAGGTACGACATATATATATATATATATATATATATATATATATATATATATATATATATATATATATATATATATATATATATATGTCGTACCTAGTAGCCAGAACTCACTTCTCAGCCTACTATGCATGGCCCGATTTGCCTAATAAGCCTAGTTTTCATGAATTAATGTTTTTTCGACAACCTAACCTACCTAACCTAACGTTTTCGGCTACCTAACCTAACCTAACCTATAAAGATAGGTTAGGTTAGGTAGGGTTGGTTAGGTTCGGTCATATAACTACGTTAATTTTAACTCCAATAAAAAAAAATTGACCTCATACATAATGAAATGGGTAGCTTTATCATTTCATAAGAAAAAAATTAGAGAAAATATATTAATTCAGTAAAACTTGGCTTATTCAGCAAATCGGGCCTCGCATAGTAGGCTGAGAAGTGAGTTCTGGCTACTAGGTACGACATATATATATATATATATATATATATATATATATATATATATATATATATATATATATATATATATATTATAATATTATAAGATGCGTTACGTTGCTAAGGTTGATCTTGAGACCTGTGATGCGTGGAACCAGTGTAAATAGTGTTAAATTTCACGCTTTGAGTCACATGTGAGTGAAGGTTCCAGTTGGCCTCCCAGGTGCAAACTTTACACTTGAGCATCTCAGCCCGGCTGGGATGCTTACACTCACGCACGCACTCACACACAAACTCCCGCGCACGCATACGCATTCTTGCACGTACGCGCGCCACCTCCCCCCCCCCCCCACCACACACACGAGACATGATCACTACCTACAAAATCCTCAGGGGTATTGACAGGGTAGACAAGGATAAACTATTCAACACTGGTGGTACGCGAACAAGGGGACACAGGTGGAAACTGAGTACCCACATGAGCCACAGGGACGTTAGAAAGAACTTTTTCAGTGTTATCTACTCTAAACAGGTGGAATGCATTAGGCAGTGATGTGGTGGAGGCTGACTCCATACACAGTTTTAAATGTAGATACGATACAGCCCAATAGGTTCAGGAGCCTGTACACCAGTTGATTGACGGTTCAGAGGCGGAACCAAAGAGCCAGAGCTCAACCCCCGCAAGCACAACTAGGTGAGTACACACTCACGCGCTAAGGGCGTACACTCACGCGCTAAGGGCGTACACTCACGCGCTAAGGGCGTACACTCACGCGCTAAGGGCGTACACTCGCGCGCTAAGGGCGTACACACGCGCTAAGGGCGTACACACGCGCTAAGGGCGTACACTCACGCGCTAAGGGCGTACACTCGCGCGCTAAGGGCGTACACTCGCGCGCTAAGGGCGTACACTCGCGCGCTAAGGGCGTACACTCGCGCGCTAAGGGCGTACACTCGCGCGCTAAGGGCGTACACTCGCGCGCTAAGGGCGTACACTCGCGCGCTAAGGGCGTACACTCGCGCGCTAAGGGCGTACACTCGCGCGCTAAGGGCGTACACTCGCGCGCTAAGGGCGTACACTCGCGCGCTAAGGGCGTACACTCGCGCGCTAAGGGCGTACACTCGCGCGCTAAGGGCGTACACTCGCGCGCTAAGGGCGTACACTCGCGCGCTAAGGGCGTACACTCGCGCGCTAAGGGCGTACACTCGCGCGCTAAGGGCGTACACTCGCGCGCTAAGGGCGTACACTCGCGCGCTAAGGGCGTACACTCGCGCGCTAAGGGCGTACACTCGCGCGCTAAGGGCGTACACTCGCGCGCTAAGGGCGTACACTCGCGCGCTAAGGGCGTACACTCGCGCGCTAAGGGCGTACACTCGCGCGCTAAGGGCGTACACTCGCGCGCTAAGGGCGTACACTCACGCGCTAAGGGCGTACACTCACACGCTACGGGCGTACACTCACGCGCTAAGGGCGTACACTCACACGCTACGGGCGTACACAGGAGCGAGCGCGCGCATACCTTAAAGGAGTACATGTTCACGCACTTAGGGCGTACACACTCACGCACCAAAGGCGTACATGCGCACCCGCTTGCACTCATTGGTGTGCACACCCACTTGCGCGCGCGACCGACACACACACACACACACACACACACACACACACACACACACACACACACACACACACACACACACACACACACACTCACACACACACTCACACACACACTCACACACACACTCACACACTCACACTCACACACACACACACACACACACACACACACACACACACACACTCTCTCTCACACTCCCGAGCAAACAGCAGTCGGGAGTCGTAGTCCCAGAGGCCAAGGTTTGATTACCGGCCGAAGCAGAACCAAATGGGCATAATTTCTCTCATTGCCTCTGGTCACAAATATCAGAAAAAAATAGGTACCTGAGAGGTCGACGGCTACTACGGGCTGCTTCCTGGAGATGTGTGTAGTAGAAATAATAGAGGAAAATAGGTCGGGAATCAGCATATCAGACGCCCGACTGTTAGAAAGGCGGGGTCCAAGAGCTAACAACTCGATCCTGCTGGCACAAATAGTGAATAAATACACACAGATGCAAACAAAGGCAGAAAACTCACCTTCCGTAAAAATCACAGCCGTTGGAGTCAGCGCAGGTGTTGGTGGGGGTGGCGAGCAGCACCCAGACACAGCAGACCCAGAGTCTGGCCAGCGACAGACTCCATCTCCCGCTCGTCTTCCTGCCGCGGATGTTGGAGGGATGCTGGAGGCAGCAGACAGGGCCCGACCCTCCTGCCCCTCCGTCATAAGGCTGCTGGAGGAGCCTATCGTCCATCAGTAGGGCCATGTCTCTCACCCTAGCGGCTCTCCCGTCTCTTGCACCTAAACCCCTCGTATAGTTACATTGAAAGGAACCATTGTCTGGTCAAGTCTGGGCATTGATGCCATTCTCCTTTTTGGGGGCGAAGATTCCTCTCGACTAAGGGGGTATTTCAGGCTGTGCACACAAATTATTCACAAACACTTGTTTCGTAAATTGGTAATCCCTCGGGAATAAAGGAACTACGGTCACACACTCGCTTCACGACACCATCATGACCGCTCAAAGTACCCGTAAATCCTCGAATGGTATCTGATTTGGCTGCAGAAAGCAACAGGTATCCCGGTAGGCCAGAGCGACGCGACTCCCCTCGCCCACCGCCAGAGACCAACTAACAAGTGGATGTCCGTCAGTGGGTTGGTCCCAAGCGCTCCGGAGGATCCCAGACGCTGCCTGCCCGCTCGGGCATCAACTGCCCTTTTTTCTATTTATATTAAGACAGATATATGCGCTCTTAAGTAGTTACTCTTGCCTACATTTGGGGTTATAGAGCTGTGTCAAGAGGTGCTAATGTCCCTTTTTCGCAAAATAGTTTGCCGTAGAAGGACATGCCTTCAGTTAAGCTGCGTTGGGAAACATGGACTTGCCTGGGGCGACCTCGCGGCACCCATGTCAGCATTTTACGTCAACCTTTTCGAATGGTGGTGTTTATAATAGTTCCGTGCTGTGTGCAGCGCTTGTGTGGTATAAGTAGCGGCGATGATTTCTCGATGATTGGGGAAATCTTAATGCAATGAATAACGGCGCAGGGAAAATGATTTGTAAGAGTTGAAGGCAGCAAGTGTGGAGACGTTGGGTGGTTTATGAGCTGAATCCTTCTCGTTCAGAGAACTGCTCAACACACGTCTTGGCGGACCTTATACGAAATCTATGGTCATGTCAGACATGAACACGTTTTCGCCATTAACTCCTGGTCTCCAGTTAAAGCTATCCTCACACAAAGGCTAAGTTAACTGTGTCACAAAAACTACGCTACATTTCACCCATTGAAAAATATTTCTGCCACACCTACTAATCTAATAGTGCATAATAACATCATTATAAAGTTGCACGATGTATTTGGTAATGGTATAGTGCTCATGTTCCACTTTCCGAGTGATGGTGAGGCTGATCGTACGGCTGGCAGCTGTGGGTGGAGGGAGGGCGGGCGGCGCGCGTCGGCCCAAACTGTTGTCGTGTGTCCCATGACCAGAATAAATTATTATTTCTTTTCATTACCGTCCCTTTGTTGCAAGCCGCAAGGCAGCTTTCAACACAGCTTCATTGATAGCAATGTTGAATCAGCAGATTTTACACTCATTAAATATTACTAAATTGAAAAATAGACCTAGAATAATATTTTTCCATGTATTGGATGTAACAGGTGGAAGATGGAGTGTCAGTCTGTCCTCCCACTTGATAAGTCGCGTTTGTTACGGATTCGACAAATCCGTCTACAAGGTGACGTATTATTACAAATTAAAGCGCTGCAATATTGACGTTTTCTATGCATCGGCCTCGGTTGGTTAGGTGGGTAGCATGTTCATATCATGCATTATTACTTTAGTATTGTTAGCATTAATAATAATAACTGATTGTAATTACATTATTAATGTCATTATAATAGGCTTTATTATTTATTTTATTTTAATTATTATTATTATTATTATTATTATTATTATTATATAGTGTAGAAAGGTAGTGTAAGGAAGATTGGAACACTGGACGTGGATGTAAGCGTGCACTGCCTCACACAGTGTAGGGAGGAACACTGTGGACGTGGATGTAAGCGTGCACTGCCTCACACAGTGTAGGGAGGAACACTGTGGACGTGGATGTGAGCGTGCACTGCCTCACACAGTGTAGGGAGGAACACTGTGGACGTGGATGTAAGCGTGCACTGCCTCACACAGTGTAGGGAGGAACACTGTGGACGTGGATGTAAGCGTGCACTGCCTCACACAGTGTAGGGAGGAACACTGTGGACGTGGATGTGAGCGTGCACTGCCTCACACAGTGTAGGGAGGAACACTGTGGACGTGGATGTGAGCGTGCACTGCCTCACACAGTGTAGGGAGGAACACTGTGGACGTGGATGTAAGCGTGCACTGCCTCACACAGTGTAGGGAGGAACACTGTGGACGTGGATGTGAGCGTGCACTGCCTCACACAGTGTAGGGAGGAACACTGTGGACGTGGATGTAAGCGTGCACTGCCTCACACAGTGTAGGGAGGAACACTGTGGACGTGGATGTAAGCGTGCACTGCCTCACACAGTGTAGGGAGGAACACTGGACGTGGATGTGAGCGTGCACTGCCTCACACAGTGTAGGGAGGAACACTGGACGTGGATGTGAGCGTGCACTGCCTCACACAGTGTAGGGAGGAACACTGTGGACGTGGATGTAAGCGTGCACTGCCTCACACAGTGTAGGGAGGAACATCAATCAGTACACTAGTGCCTCGCTATCTTACACTTGAAAGATATCACACAGGAACGGAGACACGTGAGCGGTAGGTTGTGTTCGGCTGCTGCGAGGTGTTTGTGTGTGTGTTTATCTAAGTGTACTCAATTATACTTGCTGAGGTTGTGCGTCGGGTTTTTGCTCCTGCCTCTCAGTTTTCAGTCAACTGCTGGACAATTCTTTGAGCCTATTGGGCTCTATTATCTACATTTGAAATTGTGGATGAAATCTTCTTCCACCACATTACTTCCTAGTGCATTCGATTTGTTCACTATGACATTGAACAACTGTTTATCTGTGATGGCAGGTGTTGAGCTGCCCATCTTGGGCTGGCCGCCTCTCAACTTTTCACTGGGAAGGTGTACAGGCTCCTGAAGCTTTTGGGTTGAAGTATGTCTGCTTCGTCTCTTGGTTCATTTGATTATTTAGCTGCTCTGACACCCAGGTTCTCTGTAAGACCAGTGTGTGTGTGTGTACTCGCCTATTTGTGCTTGCGGGGGTTGAGCTCTGGCTCTTTGGTCCCGCCTCTCAACTGTCAATCAACTGGTTTACAGATTCCTGAGCCTACTGGGCTCTATCATATCTACATTTGAAACTGTGTATGGAGTCAGCCTCCACCACATCACTGCCTAATGCATTCCATCTGTTAACTACTCTGACACTGAAAAAGTTGTTTCTAACGTCCCTGTGGCTCATGCGGGTACTCGGTTTCCACTTGTGTCCCCTTGTTCGCGTTCCACCAGTGTTGAATAGTTTATCCTTCTCTACCCGGTCGATTCCCCTGAGGATTTTAAAGGTTGTGATCATGTCTCCCCTGACTCTTCTGTCTTCCAGTGTCGTAAGGTGCATTTCCCGCAGCCTTGTCTCCTAACTCATGCCTCTTAGTTCTGGGACTAGTCTAGTGGCATACCTTTGGACTTTTTCCAGCTTCGTCTTGTGCTTGACAAGGTATGGGCTCCATGCTGGGGCCGCATAATCCGGATTGGTCTTACATATGTGGTATACAAGATTCTGAATGATTCCTTACACAGGTTCCTGAAGGCTGTTCTGATGTTAGCCAGCCTCGCATATGCCGCAGACGTTATTCTCTTTATGTGGGCTTCAGGAGACAGGTTTGGTGTGATATCAACTCCTAGATCTTTCTCTCTGTCCGTTTCATTACGTACTTCATCTCCTATTCTGTATCCTGTGTCTGGCCTCCTGTTTCCACCGCCTAGTTTCATTACTTTGCATTTACTCGGGTTGAACTTCAATAGCCATTTGTTGGACCATTCACTTAGTCTGTCTAGGTCATCTTGTAGCCTCCTACTATCATCCTCTGTTTCAATCCGTCTCATAATTTTTGCATCATCAGCAAACATTGAGAGAAACGAGTCTATACCCTCTGGGAGATCATTTACATATATCAGAAACAGTATAGGTCCAAGGACTGACCCCTGCGGGACTGCATTTGTAACATCTCGCCAATCTGAGACCTCACCCCTCACATTGACTCGTTGTCTCCTGTTGCTTAGGTACTCCTTTATCCAATGGAGTACCTTCCCTTTCAGGAAACCAAGCCTTTAAAAATATAAGGAGCCTTACGAAACGCTTCTAGGCTTCAGACCAAAAATAAAAATGTAAAAAATAAATTTTGGAGAGTTAATTTTTCAATTACCCTCGACAGTGAAGAAAAACGTAAGAACTATTGAGAAGATTCGTGTTAGAATTATTAATCTTACCCTTTCGGTCATATTCAGCAACATATGTTTACATATGTTTACAAGAAACAAGGTAACCAAATAAATGATAACAGAAAAATATGTAGTGTTCAAAAGAGAACTTGATAAACACCTAAGTATAACTGATCAACAGAGCTGTGATTCAGACGTTAGACTGCGAGCAGTGGCGCCTGGCAAGACCAGTCTTGGTTGACCAGATGACCAACTAAGTGGCCAAATTAGAGACTGGGCCGTGTAGACATTGAGACATTGATCCCCGGAACCATCACATCCATCATTACAGCATCTGTGTATGAGTCTGACTATCCTTCGTGTGTGTGTGTGTGTGTGTATATATATATATATATATATATATATATATATATATATATATATATATATAATGTCGTACCTAGTAGCCAGAACTCACTTCTCAGCCTTCTCAACTCACTTATTGGTGTATACTGGCAGCAGGTTTTCTTTCAAACATGTTTCATTGAATATGACCGCATATTCTGTATTTATTATTTTCTGGTTTAGGGCTTCTATCCCTCTAACTATTTTCTTAGCATCAGGGCTTAAATAAGAATAGAGCGACCTACCATGAACACCCAAATCACGGAACTATTTACTCTACCCACCATGAGAGTAAGGACAAGACAAGAACATATCGATGCCAACACAGAAGACAATGTCCAACATAACAGGCCAATTACACTGGATTAATCTTTGTGTTTAGATAGGAGATGCCTCGTATGGGCCAATAAGCCTTCTGCAGCCCCTATGTTTATCCCTTATGTATCCCCCCATGTTTTCACCTTCATTGTATTATCACCTGACCTAATGCGGGTATAAAATCAACTAGTATTGTAAGATCTGTTCACTTGAGAATGAACCATGGAGGTTCGAAACGTCGTGCAAATTATACAAATAAGTGTAATACACTCTATAGTAAATCACTTCTTTTCTTCACCTTAAAAGTACGAAAATGAGTTTTGGAGAACTCCTATTTCAATTAAGCCCTGATGCTAAGAAAATAGTTAGAGGGATAGAAGCCCTAAACCAGAAAATAATAAATACAGAATATGCGGTCATATTCAATGAAACATATATATATATATATATATATATATATATATATATATATATATATATATATATATATATATATATATATAATTTATATATATAATGTTATGTATATGATAAATTGATTAAACGAAAAATCTCTTGAAGTAGAAGAATAACTGACCAAATAACCGAGTCTAAGC